AGATGCAATCTGTCAGCGGCTGGCCGATTGGCGGGAACCTCGCGGGGTTGCTTTTCCTTTTTTTCAAATCCGGTTTCATGCTTGTACGCATATGGGCCTCTGAGTCCACCCTGGTGGGCTTTGCGCATACCTTGTCCTTCTACTGCCGCGAGGCTTTCAGCTCCAACGCCGCACCTGCTACAGATGCCTTGGTTTCTTGCCTCACGGTAAGCGACTTCTTGGCGGCGGGCTTGCGCTAGCGATGTCGCTCCAACGCCCGCCCTCGACCCTCTTGTCAGATCACAGACTGCCACCCGGCGAAATGAAGACGAGCGTTGCATCCGTCCTTGAGGGGGAACTGCGCTATTTGAGAAATTGAGAGTGGATGGGGGCACTATGCTTGTGACGGTGACAAAAGTTCCTGTCTCGTTCGTTTACGTGGGTGGCCCTACTACCCTTTGGCGAATTCCGTAGGCTGGCTAATGCTGCCCCGAAAGGTTCCAGCAACCATCCTTCAAGCCAAGCATTCGAAATCGAATCGGAAATACCGCTTAGGAATCAATAGTTTGTGTGCTTTTGTGATCCCCACCAGTATACGCATTGATCCGACCAGTCGATCAGCAACGCTCGAAATGAGTCGAGACCACCGCGCTTTTCGGGAGGCCTGCGACGCTAACGTTACCCAACTACCGCACTTGCAGGCGCATTTCGCTCACGGATGCCCTTGTTTCCCGAAAAAACTCACTGGCAATCTTGGGAGTGCAAGATCCTGCTATAGATGCAACCCTGCCATGCCCGAATCATGCCGCCCGTTGCAGTCGTGTTCCAAAAATAAGTCATTGACCGGGCTTGCTGGCTGACATCCATGGCCCCTCTCCGGCCGCGGCGCTTAGCCGTTTCGAAGTTGCCCCTGGGGCGGTTAGAGAGATATTTCAGCCAAGACGATGCTGGCCAATGACGGCAGTAGACGGGCAGACATGTCTGTATATGAGCCGATGGATGATTTGGAGCGCGTCGATTCCAGGAGCCTTCCAGTTGCAGCAATAAATGTTGATGCGCATGAGTTTCGTGTAAGCGCCTGAGCAGACTCGAGCAAGCGGGGGGAAAGTGGGGTCCACGGTAAGGATACTACTGTACTATTTTTGTACACAAAGTGAAAGCAGAACGCCAGCATCGCCCGTGAACGCGTGGAATTGCCGGCATATAAAGATCAACGGGCCTTGAAAACGTTGTTTCCGGGATAAGAACACCTCATGTGAGGGTGTAGGAGGGTGGGTGGTCTCCTTGCTTCGTGGTGTTGCTGCGCACACCGCCGTAGGGTAGGCCAGGCAAGGCGCGTGGAGAGTAGGTAATTTTCGACGACGACGGAAGCAGACAACAGGGAATGCCGTAGGCGCGTAGCTGGCAAAGCTGATTGACGCAGTCGGCCAAAAATAGCTCGATTGTGCTCGTCTGTCGCAGATGCAATCGCCACGCCTCGTCCACCCCGGCCTTATGCTCAGCTCCATGAGCAGGGGCTCGTTAAGCGACGGCTGCTGGTGTTTGTGTCTAATCTTGTTTCCAGAACAAGAACACAACATTTGAGGATTCAGAGACAACACACACACCCCCTGCTCTACCATGTTGACACAATTCTCCCCGAACAAAGTCAAAGATGCATCAAAGCATGTGCGTACAGCCTTGCCCGTGAGAGGCCAACTTAGTGAGCCGTCTACACACGAGACGAAGACATGACATTCTCTTTGGCGCTCGTTTATTTTTAAAAAGCTGGCATTGTTTTTCGATTCTGCGTGCTGCATACATAGACTCCCTTGTTCTTCTGTCCTACACCTGCAGCAGGGCTATTAATAACCGTCCCCCCGGGGGGGGGGGGGGGGGGGGAGACGACGACTATCAAGACATCAGTAACAAGTGACGCCGTTATCCCGTCTACAGCATCACCACCCCCCACGCGCCCACTTAGATTCAAACTCGATGACTTATTTCGATTCGGATCCCACATTGGGCGTGTTATTCACGTTCACGTTGTCCAACCCTCCTCCTCCTCACTCTGTCCGGTGCTTATTCTGAACGCCGAGTTCTTCTACGCCGCCACGAGCGCGTCCTCAAACGTGCCCACCAGTAAAACATTTGCGCGCGTGCGCGCCCCCTTCCCCCAAAAGAAACAACTTCATCAATATTACATATACACCCCCCTCCTTTCATCTCACCTATTTTCCACGTTCGTCTTAACCAAAGAAAAAGAAAGGGGTGCGTTTTTCGTCGTTTCTTCTTGTTTCCTCAACTTGAGACGGCGATGCCAGTTCCTTTTTTTTTTCTATTTACTTGAGACGAGGAGGCCCGCCTCCGCTTACCTTTGGACACGGGGGGTGGAGGGTGGGGGGGGGGGGTCGGCAAGTAAATAGCCAACGACATCAAAACGATCATCTTTTGCCCGTTGGAGCTGCTGACAGACAGCATGCATTTTTCCGCGGCTCTGTGGCACACACATAATCCCTTTCATGATGTGAGTGAGCCTTTACCAGAATTCATGCGCGGGGGGGGGAGAGACAATATGATGAGAAAACGTGAATGATGACTCGTTAACGGTGAATAGCTGATGATTGCTTCCATCGTCTCTTCTTTCATTGCGGATATCCCATCTGCCCCGCAACTCCGGCATCAATCAATCCATGGTATAGTAGTGTGTGTTAATGTACAAGAATAGGACGGGCTTCATACAACCCTCCACGTTTTCCCTCGAACCCCTTCACCCCGATGGCAGTGTCTAAGCCCGATAGTTTACGCGGGCCTCGTCAACAATTCTCTCCAGCATATAGCCCCAAAAAACCTGGATTTCTGCTTGTCAAGCTGTCCCCGGGTTCAGCCATTTGTGGCGTTTTGTATAGGTGGGTGGAAAGGGCTCACATTGGCTGTGTGAGGCGGCACGGCACGCTGGCGTAAGCTCGTCGTGAGAGCATTTGCCAGGACGAGCGAATATTGGCTGTACATCGAGGTGGGCACTTGGCACAAAGGACGGCGAGGTGGTGGTGGTGGTGAACATTTTCTCTCCCCCTAAAAGAACTGCCGAGAGACCACTTGATAGGCCCCATCTGGCACGTTGCTCATCTCGTTCCCCCTAGGTCTCATGGTCGTTTACTTCTTTAGTCTTTTCGCGCTTTTATCGCTCGCCGTGCTGAGCACGCTGGCGCTCCGTTTATGTGATGCAAGTTCTGCGCTGCTGCCCAGCTCCGACGCCTTGTCCTTGTTTTCCGTGGTCCCCTCCTCCGGCTTATCCTCTCCCTTGACCGCCCCCGCTTCGGCGCCCGTCTCCTGCTCCTTCATCGTTGAAGCGTCGTCGCCGCCGTTGGCATTGTCCGGCGCAGCATTTTTCTCTTTCGCCGACCCATCATCGCCGCCTTGCGTTGCCTTCTCAGCCGCGCCCCCCTCGGCGGCCGTTGCGTCGTCGGGTCCGGCCAGGGCTCTTTCACGCTCCGCCTTCTTCGCCTCTTCAATTTTGATCTCGGCGTCGAGCTTGTCCGAAACCTTGCGGGCGTCGAGAAGCCCATTGACGGCCGCCAACAGCGTCTCAAACTGCCGCGTCGTCGCCGTCGTGGGCATGGCCAGCTTGCTAGGCACATCGAGCTCGTTGAGCGTGTTGGTAATGCGCATCTGCTGCTGGTTTGACTTGTGAGAGAAGAGCTTGTTGATCTTTTCCGTGCGGAACGTGGGCCCGGAGCCCAGCCGGTCGTGGTGCGAGACGCCATAAATGGCCTCGTCGTGGTCTGACAGCTTCCGGCGCTCGTGCGGCTGCTGCGGCGTCTTCTTGCCCGCCGTCGTCGGTGTTGAGACGGGACCCGAGGACTCGCGGTTGTTGGCTGTGGCGGCGGCGGCGGCAGCAGCCGCAGTAGCGGGAGTTTCTTTCTTGCCAGTCGATTCTTGGGTAGCGGCCTGGGGAGTCCCCTGCGCCGGGGTGACACCGTCTGCGCCCATGATTGACTTGCGCTTCTTGGACTTGTCCACGCTCATAAGGTTCTGTAGCAGCGTCTGCAGGCCAGCAGACGACTTGAATGTGCTAATGTCGGTCTCGGTCTCGGCGTGGGGGTAGTCGAGCCTGTTGTACAGCTCCCTGCGCTCTTCATTGAACTTTTCGCTTCGCGCCAGGATGCGTTTAATCTCCATTAGGAGAGACTCCTCCTCGCGCGCCTCCTCACGCGAGCGTGACAGCGAATTGATGGCGAACTCTTTGCGGGCCTTTTCTTGTTGAGGGTTGTAGTGCGTCATGAGCTCGTGCAGGGCATACTCGGGTTGCGTCATGTATTGCACCGGCTTGTTGACAGCCATCATCTTGGCTGCCACTTCGTAGTAGCGCGCCTTGAGGTCCTCAAGCGCGCGGGCCCGCGCCGTCGGCACTACCGCTTTGCTCTCATCACCGTCTGCATTCGCCTCGCCATTTGTTGCTGGCGGGGTCCATTCGTATCGATCCCATATGAGCGGCCACCGCAGGTCAAAATCGCGGGCCAGCTCCAACAAGTAGTCGGTTTCCTCACGGGTCCAGTCCTCGTTTTGTAGATTTTGTAGGTATTGATCGTCGCTGTATTCCGGAACAGATACGCGCACGTTGTATTTGGCGAATGCCGAGTCCTCCACCTCGTTCGCAGGCGCGGCTGTAGTAGTGGCCTGCTGCTCATCTGTTGTCGTCGTCATGGCGACGACGGGGTCCTGCTTCGTGTCCTTGCGCCGCCAGTGCCGCAAAATTAGGCTCGCGTCGTCGCGAGCCGAGTTGCGAAAGTCTCGTAGCTCCCATGGCGCGGCAGGCTTGCGGTTTGCGAGCCGTCTCTTCTTGAACTGCGTGGTTTCGGGAACGATGGCGATGGGGTTGTCGCCGCCGAGATTGTGCACTTCGCGCGCCAGGCCCTTGAGGTTGGGCCGCGCAGCCGAGAGTTTTTGCTTCTTTGCTGGTCGGGAATCAGACAGGCCATCTGGCAGGTTGAGCACGTCGCGGACGTCTGTCGAGCTCATTGTTGTGATGAAGGACGTCGAGCCTTGGTGTAGCGATCGGGTTCGGAGATCATGCGAGGGTATGGGCACCCGATGTTACAGTCGTCGAAGAGTCGATTAAGTTGCGTATTGCATCGCTAAATAAACCGAGACTCGATTCGCATTCAATGAAATCAAGGGTACAAAATTAGTATAGATTTTTCAAGCCCGCCGTGTAGTTGTTGCGTCTGGTTAAAGTGGAGGACGATTCGCAAAGAGTTAAAGTCTTAAGAACTCTGCCGCCAGCACTCTCGCGGACCGCTAACCACTGTAATTCGCACGCCAGAGAAAGACGCGAAGTGGTTTGCGGACGCGTGCACGTGACCTCATACCCCTGGATGGCTCTCTGGGCGGATTTTTGGGGACGTGGCAGCTTGGATGGATAGCCCCTAGGCTAGGAGGGTGTTGGCAGCATCGCCTTTAGACGTTCTCTTTCTCCGAGCTCTTCTCACAAGCACGACTTTCAGTCTTCTCGAACTGACCAATTGTCTTCTTATATCGGGAGACCGCTTCTTCTTTACCAGCTCGCCGTTGGTACCGAATCGTAAGCCAACGCTCATATCGTCGAATCGTGCTGCAGCTACCGCGCGGCGCATCGCCAAGCAGAGACACTGCCCACTCACCATGCGATCGTTTCTCCCGATTCTGGCCCTGGCCTCGGCCGCGCAGGCCCTGCACTTCTTCATCGACGGCTCGACGCAAAAGTGCTTCTACGAGGAGCTTCCCAAGGACACCCTCGTCTCGGGCACATATGCTGCCGAGGAGTGGGACGACCGCGTCAACACTTGGCAGCAGCACGAGGGCCTCAAGATTTACATCACCGTCGATGTACGTGGTCCCCTTCACACATACCCACATGACTCCTTCTCGGACTATCGTATTTGTCATTGAACCAAAACGACTAACTGGAATGTTTCACCATGAATGCAGGAAGTTTTCAACAACGACCACCGCATCGTCTCCAAGGCCGGCTCGTCGTCGGGCAAGTTCCATTTCGTTGCCCACGAGGCCGGCGACCACAAGATTTGCTTCATGCCCTCGTCCACCTCGGGCCGCTCCGCGTGGCTCTCGACGTCGGCGCCTAACGGCGGCATCAAGCTCCGTCTCGATATGGTCATTGGCTCTAGCAGCGAGATTGAGAGCTCCGACAAGAACACCATTGCCGACATCACCACCCGAGTCAAGGATCTCAACAACCGTCTTTTCGATATCCGCCGTGAACAAGTCTTCCAGCGTGTAAGTGGCGGCCCGTGATCTCCCTGCCACACTTCTGGCGCTGTAAACGGCAGGTTAACTAACTTGTGATAATAGGAACGCGAGGCCGAGTTCAGAGATCAGTCCGAGTCCACAAACGCTCGTGTCATTCGATGGATGATCATCCAGCTCGTCGTTCTTGGCGGTACCTGCGTCTGGCAGCTGTCGCATCTGCGCACCTTCTTTATCAAGCAGAAGCTGACGTAAATGGGAGAAGAAGATTACTACGGCATTGTAATTCACGGTGTCATATTTCCGCGTTTTGGTTGGGCTTGCTCGGAATGGGTCGTTTTATCTAGAGTTGAAAAAAAGGAAATGGAAAATGGGACTCAAGTACGTGTCATGATTGAGTACGTCAGGCGAGACACGCACGTAATATATGACAAATTGGTGGCGACCTTACGCAATCAATGAGATGTTATTGTAAATGCCATGTAGGTCTCGCGGCATGACAGATTGACATAATGATTCGGCTATTTGGACAGGTGAGAGCAATCAACAACATTCACTTGGCAGACCGAAAAATCCAATGCTGATAAAGTGTTTGATTCAATTACGAAAAAGCATACCGATAAAACTCCTACCTAGTGTTTGTAAAGTCCATGTCAAAATCAATTTACACCGTCTTGTCTGCTCTCCCTAGTCTCTCAGGCGTCGTGCGTGCGGGTCTACCTCGATGATGAAACAGAAAATGACGAAACCAAAGTTGCAACCAACGACGCTCATTCGATGCATCTTCTCCTCGCTCCTTCAAAAACGAAAATTACAGAGACTTCCCTGCAAATCGGAATCTTTTGCAATCCGTCAGTGACCTGTTTCCTGAGAGCTCCTCCTCCTCCTCGGGGCAAAACGTATTATAGGATGGCGTGGTATGAAAATAGGGGGAATGAGTTTGTTTATGTGATGGGGATGGTGGCCGTGGGCGTTGAGTAGTAGTGGTAATAGTAGTGAAAGTGTATGAGATGGCTGGGAAATGCATAGGGGGATTTGGACGGCAATGGCGGAGATGAATTTGCAAAACATCTTTGATGCAATCCCGTATTCGTAGCTGTTAGCTGGCCGTGCGATGTAGTGTGCCCACAACGAAATGACCAGCTAATGGGCTTGATTCGTAGCGATGGACGTCATGGATAAAAGAAAAAAGGTGAGACTTGAAAATGCGCTAGGTTGACCCTCGTTTTTCGTTCGAAGTTTTGTGATTTTTTTCGTCGGTGTTTGGTTTTCTTGGGTTGCGTTGTTGGGAACATCGTTTGCCGTCGCGCGTCTGAATTCCTTTCCATACTAGCCACGAGTATATGCCGTGCTGATCGCCCTGTAATATCCAATTCCACAGCTTGGCCATACATGCCGCTGCAAGACGCTTCGAAATTGCCAAATTGACTAGCGAGCTCTAGGTAGCCAACTGACGGAGATTGGCAAGTTATTGATGGAGCTCGATGATTCTAGCGAGCACATTCCGTAGGGCCGCGGCTTACCGCAGCAATGAAGAAGACCGCAGTATCGACTCGTGGGGGGAGGCGCCTAGCCGCAGCAAATGGACTTGATAAACTTTTGGAAGCCGGTGGGCTGCTGTACGGTCTGGGCGTTGAGCTGTCCAGGCTGGCCAATGCCACCTTGAGGCGTCATCTTCTGCTGGGGAAGGTTCTGGGCGCTGTTTTGGAACTGAGCTTGAGTCGAGCCGGCGGGCGTGGACAAATCACGCAGGCCTCCAGGGCCCCGCTGAGCGGACAATCCTCCTTGCGCGCTTGGGCGTTCTCTCTGCTTGCCCATCTGCTTGATCGGTGAGGGAGGAGGAGGAGGCTGGGCGGCGTTTAATCGGCCCACTGTAAGATTCTGTGCTTGCTGGTGAGAGTTTGTATTCCCCCGATGGCCACTGTGAAGTTCCATTTGAGAGGGACCGGGGCGTGCGTTTGGATTGTGGTGATAATTGTGCGCCTTGGAGTCCCAGCCCTTTCCCGAATCCTTGTTGATCTTCATCCAGTCGTACTCACCATCCTCGACCTCGCCGGCATTCTTGAGGGCCTGGGTAAAGAGCTCGCGGAGATAATCATAGTCGGGGGTGTCTTCGAAGCCGAGGTTGCGGACATAAGTGAGGTACTTGCTGAACTCTTCGGGAAAGCCCTCGCAAAGATCCTTGATGGCGGTGGTCTGCTTCTTCTCACCAATCTTTTCATATTTTTGCTTGTTGGTAGCAGCCTTGAGGCCCTGCCAAGGCAAACCACCACGAAGAAAGTACATAAAGACGTGGCCGAGGGCCTCGAGATCGTCTCGACGCGATTGCTCACGTCCCAAGTGAGTGTTAATACTCATGTAACGGGCGGTACCGGAAAGGGACTTGCGCTCGCGATAGGGAATGTGCTGCTTCGTCTTGGGATCTCTGTACTGTTTGGCCATGCCAAAGTCAATGACGTGAATAACGTTGGCAGCCTTAGTGCCGGGACGACCAATGATGAAGTTGTCGGGCTTGATGTCACGGTATATGAGGTTTCGCTCGTGTATCGTCTGGACGCGAGAGAGCATTTGCTTGGCGACCATGACGACGGTCTTGATGGTAAATCGGCGACCGCAGTGGTCGAAGAGGTCTTCGAGCGAAGGCCCGAGGAGGTCAATGACGAGAATGTTGTGGAGACCCTCCTGGCCAAAGTAGTAGACATTGGGAATACCGGCTGCAATAGGGTTAGATGGGTAGTTGGAGGCGGGAATTGTTCATCATCATCTACTCACGGTAGCCTACGAGAATCTTGTAGGTGCGGTACTCGTCTCGCAGCTGGGGAGCATCGCTCTTTCGAGGCTCCTGTTCTATGTATTAGCGCTGGTCGAGCGGGAACAACAAAAGTCAATCAGAGCGGTGTCTCTAAATTGCGGGATACTGACAAATTTGATGGCGACCTGCTGGTTGTTGAGCAGGTTGGTGCCTTCGAAAATGACACCAAACGAGCCCTCACCAATCTTCTTGCCCACACGGTAGTGGACACCGACAACATTCGAGGCTGACGAGGCCATGATGGGCGAGGAGCGAAGGGGTAAGAATGGATAAATGAAGAGGCCAAGGACAAAGATATGGACGCCGATTTCGAATGCGGAAGTTGAGGCGGCGAATTGTCGTGATTATCGTGTCCTTGGTCGGTCGGATGATCAGGCGAAAGTTGCCGCAGCCAAAATAGCAACCCTTGGGGCACTACCTAGGGAGCCCCCAATAAGGGGTGTGCTTCTGTTGGGCGAAGAGATGGGAGCCTGTACGGCGGCGAGTATATGCAGAGCCGGTCAGATGAGTTGCGAAATTCAGAAGACGAGCAGAGGAGTGCACATTGCCGATGGGAAGCGAGGAGTAGGTAGGGAAGGAAAAGGGAAGAAAAAACGCAAGGCGAGGAGAGTTACGAGATGGCAAGGGGAGGGAGGACGAGTAAAGATCTGCTGGAGATGAGTGCCCAGGTAGAAGTGGATCACAACGGTAGGCAATTTTGGGGGGCTAGTTAGGGTGAAGGACTGAAGGTTGGCCTTTCGAGAAAAAAGAGGCCAAAAATGGTAAAAGATTTGGGCAAAGATAGAAAACGATTGGTGCTGGATAATGGTGTCTAAGCAGCACCAAGAAGATTATTTCAAGCGCGCGGGATGCATAGGTACGAGGCGGATGATGCGACTGCGTTGCTTCCTTTTGCCCCTGCTTTTAGGCCGCTGCGACGAGTAATCCTGCAGGCTGTAGGTGGGCAAAGACGGGCGACGTAGGC